CGCCCCTGCCACCTCCCCCGCGCGTTTCTTTCCCCACCTGCTTTGCGCTCCCTCCCCTACCCGCGCGACACATGGCACAATAGGACAAGGCTTACAAATCATCGAACATCATATAATTCTTTCGAAAATTTTTATTTTTTCGCAGTTAGTTTTCTTTTTCATAATCACCAATTATTATTCTCTTTTCCTTGTCATTTATCTTTCAAAAATTAATTTCGCAATTATTCAATTTAGCCATTTTGAAATACTTTTGAATCTCGAAAAAAAAAAAATTCCGAATATTTTGCATTTCAAAATTAATTTCTTCGAAAAAACCCTAAAATTCTAGCTTGCCCGATCGGACGTCCGGACACCCCCTGACCGTCAAGGACTGTCCGGTCGGACGGTTGGGCGGACGTCCTCCCGAAACAGTCCGTCCGATCGGCAGGAAAAATAGGTTGGGCGCTTCTTAGGGGGCGGGGGGGGCTTGGGGGTGGGGAACGGGCACAGGTGAAGCGGGGCGGGCCAAGAGAATTTTTTTCCGAGGCCGGTAGGGCCTCAGCATCCGAAATTGAAAAAGGCCCGATCTGGGCTGTCAGATCTTCAAGATCGATGGCCCCGATCGGGCCGAATTCAAATTCGAATTCGCGCCGGGTGCAACCGTCCCTCGCGCGCAGCTTCGCCCCGCCCCGTCGTCAGAGTTCGGCGTTGCAGTTTGTCGAGCTCCGGCCGCGGCCGCCGGCCACCCGCCGTCGCTTGCGACCCACGCGCCATCGCCCGCCCGCGCCAGGTCAGTTACTTCCCTTCGTTATCCTCCTCCTCCTCCTCCTCTTCCTCCTCCTCCTCCTCCTCCTTTAATGGGACATCCTCCTCCTCTTCCTCCTCCTCCTCCTCCTCTTCTTCCTCTTCCTCCTCCTCCATCGGGACCTCCACCTCCTCCTCCATCGGGACCTCCTCCTCCTCCTCTATCAGGACCTCCTCCTCGTCCTCCTCCTCTATCGGGACCTCCTCCTCCTCCTCTATCGGAACCTCCTCCTCCTCCTCGATCGGGACCTCCTCTCCCTCCTCCTCTTCCTCCTCCTCCTCCTCTATCGGGACCTCCTCCTCCTCCTCCTCTACCGGGACCTCCTCCTCCTCTATCGAGACCTCCTCCTCCTCTATCGGGACCTCCTCCTCCTCCACCTCCTCCTCCTCCACCACCTCCTCTTCCTCCTCCTCCTCCTCTATCGGGACCTCCGCCTCCTCCTCGTTCTCCTCCGCCGCCTCCTCCGTCGTCAGGACCTCCTCTCCCTCTTCCTCCTCCTTCTCCTCCTCGTCCTCCTCCTCCTCCTCCGTCTCGCCGCGAAGTTGAATGCCCTTGTTTGAGACGTGAGAACCCCGACTCTCCTCTTTTTTTTCCCCTCCTACATCCGTTGCCACCCATCCATCCATCCATCCCGACCGACCAATCAATCAATCAGTCAATCGATCAATCAA